ACCCTCGCCGCTTCACTACCACTGCTGGCAAACGGCTGCTGGTGCAGTGAGGTTGTGCCCGCAACCTCCCTTGGAGGGGGCAGCGGCCCAGGGCCAGGGACTGCTGTGTGGAAAGGGCCGGGACATTCTCGGGGCTCACGCTTCTAGTAATCTGTGTCCCCCGGAGTTGAACACTAGGACAACAGTGTAGAGTAATAGTGTAGTAACTACAGTTGCTTCATTGGAAAAGGTGTAACATACACAGTTTTAAAAAACAATGTAAGTCACTCGCAGAGTCCTACAATCAGATCTGGTAAAAAGTGAAGAGTTCACAATATTCTCAAGTGTGCTCTGAGTCCCAGGAGTCCGTGCTCAGTGAGGTCACAGAGAAAACACGAACTGCAGTGCAGCTGTACGCAGGTACGCCTGCCTACCTGGAGGGAAGCTCCAGCTGGAATGCAGCTGCCTTCTTCTCCTAAGCGATTCCACTCACAGCCCAAGCGGCCAGGGCAGCCAGTGTCCAGCAACCTCTCCCACACAACTTCACAACGAGCCCTGAGTGAGCCGACTGCCCCACCTGAACTCTGGGGACTTCTGACAACGCTGAGGCCCGGGCAGGTGGTCTCGGAGGGCAGAGCCCACAGGACTGGACGAGGGAGTGGTCCCGAAGTCCCCAGCGTCCCTGAGAGCACTCACACGCTGCCAACGCAGCGCCTAAGTCCCCAGGTGACAGTGCCTGGGTCCTCTGTGCCCTGCAGGACTGCTTCCAGGACCCTGAGGGGACCCACCCCCTCAGACACTCAAGTCACTGTGTAAAATGGCATGGAGCAGTTGGCATTGCCCGCACACATCCCCCCATGTGCTCTAGATCATTCCTAGATTGCCCACACTGCCTAACACAACCCAGACATGGTGCTGCATACCTGCGATCCCAGCATGCAAGAGGCCGAGGCAGGAGGACTGCCACAAGCTCGAGGTCAGCCTGTGCTACATAGTGAGTTCAAGGCCAGCCTAAACAACACAGCAAGACTCTGTCTCAGAAAAATAAACAACAAAAAATCAAAAACAGTGTAAAGGATGTGTAAATCATTATAGTGCTAAGGGGGTAATAATAACCAAACACGGACTGTACATATGCACTTGAGACCCAAAAATGTGCAAATATTTTTGACATGCAGCTGATGAATCCCTGGCTGCAGAGCCTGCGGAGCCTTGGAGTGCACCTGAGGTGGACAGGAAGTGGGTCACGGGCTCAGTGAGGCTGGAAGGGTGCTTCTGTGTGCACAGGAGCAAGGTCACCAAGGGCAAGGCAGGAAGCGCACCGGGCCGAGAGGTGCTCTTCAGCGGACACCAGCACCCCGGCCGCCTTGACCTGGAGCTTTCAGTCTCCAGAACCACACAGAAGTAAACGCTGCCCCTTGAGCCTGGTCCAAGGGCTCCACGAGGTTCGCCAGAGCTGCCTGTCACGGAGCAGGAGACGCTCTCTCCAGCCTGCAGCTCGCTCCTCCCCAGCGCAGCCATGAGTCCGGACAGTGCCTGAGCCCATCCTGTCTGCATCCCTCAGCTGGCTGCCCCATCAACCCAGAGACTCCTGATGCAGCTGCCACCCAGCAGGCCCAGCAGTGCCCTGCTGTCCTCTGCCACCAGTGGCCTAGCAGGACAGGGCCTGTCGGAGAGACTGGCACTGAGTTCTGTGTCCTGGGGCTCCAGCCTCCTCCTCTGGCTTCGGGGGCTGCACCCTGTTGCCCGTGCTGTTGGAGCCTCAGGTCCAATGTCGCACGTGAGAGGCCTTTCTAAACTGTGACACCACACGCGCATCAGACACCTCGCTCCTAACTCATCAGGGCCTGGAGGTCTTCAGTAACGACTGCCCAGAGAAGCCATCCTTCTTGCCAATACTGGAATGTTTTTATTTATTCATTTATTTTTGAGACAGATCTCATCATGCCATCTGGGCTGACCTCAAACTCATGATCCTCTTGCCTTAGCCTCCGGGACGCTTCACTACAGGTGTGGACCACCGCACCCAACTTCAATGCTGTCTGAAAAGCTGAAGCTGCAATACAGATGTTGAGCATCCTTTATCCAAAAAGCCTCACACCGGAAGTGTTTCGGGTTGGGAATTTTTCAAATTCTGGAACAGGTACCTGCTAATGAGACAGGTCTCTATCAGCCTAGACTGGAAACTCTGGCCAAGTTCTGTTCACCCTGCTGGTACCTTAGTTATTCAGCGCCGCCCACTTCTTTCTACTGTTTGCAATGCATGTAAGAGCCAAGCTCAGGAATTTACTGTGTCACACACACCTTCGCACACGGCCGCAGGTGACTGCACGCAGTATTTTTAGCACACCTGCACGCTGACTGCAACCACCACGTGAGGGCAGGTGTGGAATTTTCCACTTGTGGCCTCCTGCGGTTGCTCAGAAAGGTTCAGATTTTGGAGCATTTCAGACTTTCAGAGTCTGGTTCCTCAACCTGTATTTAAATTGTGAGCCTACTTCAAGTTTTGCTTAAAAGCATTACCACTAAAAAAACAAAAAAACAAAAAAACACAACTCTTTGAAAATTAAAAAACGCAAGGAAGTCAGGTGATGCTCACTGGCCTGCCTACTAGCAAGACAACCCCGACCTGCCGGTCTGTCCAGCGGGGCAGACAGGGTCATCCTCACTACTCTGGAGCCCAGGCTCCGCCCGGCCCGCAGGGAGGCAGTGATGATGCAGTCACGTGCCTTTGGTTTGTGGCAGTCAAAATGCAGGTGCACAGAAATGATGACATAAAATTACCTTCAGCCTTCCTGTGTAAAGTGTCTATGAAACATAAGTGAATTCTGCGGCTCTGTTTTGTTTCTAAGTATAGCTTCAAGACTGTTAATAAGCCGGGTGCATGGTGGCTCACGCCTGTAGTCCCAGCACTCCAGAGGCTATGGCAGGAGGACTGCTGCAAGTTCAAGGCCAGCCTGGGTTACAAAGTGCGTTCAAGGCCAGCCTGAACTGCACAGTGAAACGCTGTCTCACAAAGACAAAAAAAAAAGACTACTAATGATTCATTTGACAGAAGTTACCAAGTAGACAAGAACCAAGATCAAGTTTTCCCACTGTCGGGACCCCTGTAGCTGTGCTACCATGCGCCAGGGGGAACCTAGTGCCCCAACACCTGCAGGCTCAGAACCACATCAACCTAGCCAGCGAGCGCTAGGTGCACAAAATCTACAAGCCATCAGAGAAAATGTAGCAACAACGAACCACTCGGGAGAGTGCCCCCAACACCAAGCCAGAGACGCACGAGGCTGTGGAGGTCCAGGAGGAAGCGGCCCCTCTCCACGGGAGCTGGTGAGATGTGCAGGAAGGGAAGGAGGAAAGCTCGGCTAGCCAGGGCAGCAAGGGAGCCGAGATGGGCCAGGGCTGGGACAACCCAGACTGTGCCATGTCCTCCGGAAGAGCTTGTCATCTCTGTGGTGTCAAGGATTGTGAGGTAATAATGCGTGTATGTGTGTGTGTGTGTGTGTGTGTGCATGCGCTGGCCAAGCGGTGTAATGTGCTCGTGTCACTTCACCTTCAGATACAAATGTACCTTGGGGATATTTCGAAGTGAAATGTAGAAAAGACACAAGTCTAATCTGTTACTTTGCACTATAAAGGAAAGACCTGACTTAGCTCAGACACTACCTGTGCCAGCCCACCAAGAGCCACCTGTCCTCTGCAGCTGCCCGAACTCCAGCACTGAGCAGACACGCAATACCGTGTTTTAGCTCAAGCCCTCTGAACACACGGCTTGCAGTGCTTCCACCTCTCATTTTAGGAAACAGAAAAGATTCATAGGCAGCATTTGCAGCGGCTCTGGACGGGCAAAGGAATCCCTTGGCCTCTGGGGGAGTCACTGGGAGTTTCCAGTTCACTGTGAAAAAAATGGAGCTTACCAGTTTCCGCAAACAGCACACACCACCCACCAGCAGCTCCAGCCCGCAGTCTTGAGCTCCTCAGCCACTTGGCCTCATTTCGAAAGCCAGGAAGCCATTCCCAGGGACTCTGCCACCACCAGGGACGCAGCGGGCCGGCTGTACGGCAAGCAGCATGCACGTCCCAGAAGGTCTTGCAGCCTGGCCTGGCCAGGGCAAATTAAGCTAGCCCAGGTGATCCGGAAAAGTACTCGTCATTCAGTGCCACCAAGGGGCCTCAGGGCACCTTCAGCGCTTGCTCAGTCTGTGCACCCCCAGGAAGATTTCTGGTGAATTTGATGGGGATAAGAGCAGAGCTCTCAAACGCTGTGTGCACGAGATTTGCTGTTTGCTGGAACAGCTGAGGAACACCCAACGCAAGTGACACAGGCTGGGAACTCAGCAGGGTCCAGCCGGGCAGGCGCAAAGAAGGTGTAAGTGCACAGCGTTTGATAAGGCGAAACTCAAAGCCAGAGGACCGCCCCTCCGAAAGGGTCCTTTCTGAGCAGGTGGGCAGTGCAGCGATGCAGCGGCCAACTCTCTGGGCGGCACCCTGGCACCCGGGCCCATCTTAGGTCTCAGGCCAGTTTCACTGTGCCACAGCTCAAGAGCTCAGAGCAGAGGGTAGCGGGCCGCGCCTCTCCACACCTTACCCCTGAGCAAAGTTCTCAGTGTGAGCCTCAGGGAGCCACCAGTCCTGGTGCCCTCGCTGTCCAGTCAAAGCTGGGCCCAGCCTGCAGCGCACCCTCAGCCCGGCTCCAGAGCCAGCCCTCCGGGTCCAGCACTCTCTTGGGAGTGCCTGAACAGGTCTCTCCACACACCCCGCACACGCCTGCAGCCCCTGGTATTAATTCGTCGTAGGAAGCCTCCACGCTTGAGTTACCAGAGCGATCGGGGCAGCCTGGAAACGTTTTAATAAGTTAAAGCAGCCTAGGTTAACGTATGTTTCATTTTTAAGACTTGAAAACCACTGTCGACAACCATATCAAACAGCAAATGAAACACACCCAGATCGAGTTTCCGTCCTACAAAATCCCTTGGAGAAGCCTGGACAGGCCACGACCTCGAAGAGACCGCAGGTCCTACCTGTGGGTCCCCAGCAGGCCCCGCCCACCGGCCTCGGGGTTCCCTTCTTTCTGGGTCAAGACTGGAGCAGGCCCCGAGACATCCGAGGCCCCTCCACTCATCCCATTACAGGCACGAACTTGGCAGAATCAGCCTCAGACCTGTTGGCAAAATACACAAAGCCAAATAAAGGAGAAACCGAAGCGGCGGGGTCCAACCCCACACGCGGTCCCGCTTTGTCCCGGGCTGCCCACAGCACCAGCGGCAGTCAGGTGCCCGGCGTCCCTTCGCCGGCAGCCGGCAGCGCTTCCGGACCAACTCTCATTGTCCACACATGAAGCCACGCACGCCCCTCCACACAATGCCAAGTGCGCGGCGCGCAGCGGGGAGTGAGGCGCCGCCGGGAAAGTCGCCTCCGACTCCTCCGGAGCCACCGGGCGGGGGACCCGCCTGCGTGCACCGAGAGGGCAGGCACAAGGGAAACTTTGCTTCCGGCGGCGGCGGCTGGAGTCCTGGAAATGGGCCGGGCGCAGGGCCGGGAGCCGCACAAAAGCGCCTGGGCCGCGCGGGGACCGCGCTCGGGCGGCCGGGTGACAGCAGCGGCGGCCCGATCGTAAACAGTTCCCTCCGCACGGCAAGTTCTCCGGCCCGGCCTCGCCGC